CACACACACACAAGCACACTTTATCGATTTCATTAGTGCCTACCTACCATAACCTCATTCCGTCACCATCATCTATCCTCCCCCCACCCCCATCCCTTGCGCTACTTCCACCTCCAAAGAAAAACCAACAAGACGGATAGTTTACCGCCTAACACCACGAGAAATGCGGTGTGGGCGTACAGAGCCATAGAAAAACCAGGAGACATCGAATGGCGAAAAAGGCCCATAACTTTTATGGTCAGTGATCGGGTCATCGATCTGAAAGCCTTTGACCAGAAATAAAAAGGATGGGGGGAGCAGGGAGAGAGAGAGAGAGAGAGAGAGAGAGAGAGAGAGAGAGAGAGGGGGGGGGGGGGGGGGGCGGGGGGGGGGGGATGAAATCTGACCCAGAACCAACACGGCGAACACAGGACATCTGGTTAAAAATAGTGGCTACTCAGTTAACTGACCATTCCTCAAGACCAGCTGTCAAATACACTCATACGTAGTGGGGACTCAAGCGATGCTTGAAGCAAAGGATTGAGACGGTGCCGCTGTTTGACAGCTTAGACCCAGAGCAAACAGTTGGCTACAGGAAAATAATAGGGGACCTTTTTCTAGAAATAGGGCGTCTTGGGTGGTGTCTAGCTAAGTTGGTTAAAGATAATGGGTTCGATTCCCGGGTTTCACCAGAAAGATGCTTTGCGTTTGGCACAGCAAGATGGTGTCATGTTGGTTTTGCGATTACTTGGCCAACTCGTTATAGGGTAGGCCTATGCGGGTGGTTGACGGGTGCTTGGTGTGGTTTACTGCTTCTTTCCTATCCAACGTCTTTGGTCCTGATCTTTCTCCTTTTTTGTATTTGTCACGCTCTTGCAACACCTCTGATCTTCGGCACTTATACATGACCTCATTGCTTTGCAAGTGCGTAACACTTTTACTGAAACATTATTGGATTGTTACTGCGTGCTCATAATATGACCTTATGCAGTGTCGTGCGCCTTTAACTTTTTTTTACTGAACTGAAACTAAAGAAACCCTCGGAAATTGGGTATGATCAGAATTGAACAGTCTCAAAAGTTATGGTTTGTAGGCATTTGCTACAAAAGTGACCTGTTCTATGTTATTTGCATACTACGTTTATGGCTCAAATACCGGTATATATCTGCCTTCTTGATCAGAATAATTTTCTGTATTCTGTTTTATTTTTTCCCTTTTTTAAGGGGGGCAGGTGGGAGAGGGTGTGTGGGCATAGATTTGTGTGTTTGTGTTTGTGTGTTTGTGTGTATGTGTTTGTGTGTTTGTGTGTGTGTGTGTGTGTGTGTGTATGTGTATGTGAGTGCGTATGTGTGAGTACATGCATGTGTGTGTGTGTGTGTGTGTGTGCGCGTGCGTGTGTGAGTTTGGAACAGGTTTTGCTTGCTTTTGTTTTTCCTTCTGCTTTTTTCAAACTCAGGGCTAAGAAATGCCTCACCTTTGGCATGATAAATTTATGTCCCGTCGGGAGTATACTCATGCACGAATCAAAACAAAATTACCAGCACTGTCCAAGACACATATTGGTGCAGTTTGACTTTTGAACATTTCACTTTCACCTTCACCTATCCTGGACGCTTTTGAAGATTTGGCATCCAGCTTCCTACACTCCTTCCGGTTTTCAGCTTTCCTGAGCATGTCTTTGAGTTCCAGGCCTGTCCATTCCTTGATGCTGTCCTCCCAACTCTTCTTCAGTCTGCCTCTGCTCCTTTTTCCCTGGACGCTGCCTTGCAGGATCATCTTGGCAAGGCCAGAAGAAAGGCTGATGTGTCCATACCATTTCAGTTTATGATGTGATCTTTGTATGACATACCGAGGATTTTTCTGAAGCATCTCATTTCCACAGCTATGATCCTTCTTTTAAAGTCTGAACATTATCAAACAATTATACTAGCGTCTGTGGTGTAGCTGTTAGGCATTTAGCTGTCGCTCACAGAAAACTCGAGCACGATCCCTGAGTGGGGAGGGAATTTTTTTCGAGTATCTCAATCTTTCTGCTGGGATATTGTATCCATCCTCTCGGCCCGGGTTGGTCCTGACAGGCAGGTCGAAACCCCGCCTCCTAAGTGATCGGAGTCTCGATGGGGGCGAAAAAATACTAACATTAAAAACAAAAGGAAATAAACAATAATAGGGAGTGCGCACAATGCGACGCTGATAAATTCAAAAGGCTGTCTGACTTGTCAGATGCGATTTTTTCCTCGAGATCGCCAAGCATTCTGACGTCCGGTTTCGACTTTGCCAAGTCGCATCGATTGCACCACACCTTATATACTCCCCGCTAACGCAACTTTACTTCTCTTGAATGGCTGACAAAACAGCTCGACTCACGATTGCCCAATCTCCCAGAATAGCCAACTTGGGACCCGCATGCCTGCAAGCAATAAATATAAATGTCTCTGCTCAAAGATTCGAATACAAAAAGGAAAAAAAAGTAAATTTAAAAAAAAAGACACATACCCCTCCCCCCCAAAAAAAAGACAAAAAAAAGAAAAAAGACATCGACAAGAATCCTTTCAAGTTCAGCCCGACCGTGGAAACCAAGGTAAATTCCAGAAAAAAATTCTCCAGAGAGTCACAAAGTGGAGAAAAAAGACAGATTTAGCTCCCTTTTGACCCCCGAGGGGTACCTCTCCAAATCTCAGCAAGAATCGGTTACGTCAGAGGAAGAAATGTGGTCTTGTTGAGTCTTGTTTTCCGCGCCGTCTCCGCACAGTCTCGCATGGCGACTTCTTTGTTCCCACTAGCCATTGGTTCTTTTTTATTCTTGCTTTCAATTTTCCTGCCGTCAGTTTCCTTGTAAGAGATCCCCCCCCACCCTCTCCCTCCCCCTCTC